TTTCTTGCAAATCTTCTAATTGTAATTAATGAAACTGATTCAAGACTTTGGGGTACAATTTGTTTTAATTCTACCCATGAATAATTACAGTTTTCTCTTGCATGCCTCTTTGCAGCCCCCCAATAACGCTCAATAAAGTTAAGTTCACAATGAAATTTTGGGTAAAAAATATATTTGTGACCTGCCTTTTCAATTATTTCAGCAATTGCACCCTTTTGAGCAAGAAAATCTGGTTCTAAGGACATTACTCGGCGCGCACAACAATTAATTCGATTTTCATCATCATTTTTTTCTTTGCATTCTTTGCATTCCAACATCAATCCACCATTAGGCCATTTTTTTCGTTCTTGTAATATTTGTCTCAGTCCCTTAGGCTGACCTCGAAGCTTTTCATTTGGATGGTCATCAGAAAATACCATTGATTGCAACTGGTTATCAGGACCCCAGTAAGTATCACGCATTTTTGGTTGCAAACCACCAGGTTTTAAGTTCATTTTTTTTGCCACTAATGCATCTTTTGCAAATATTGCATGATTTGAACTGTTATCAAATGCAAAAATGCCGATACAATTTGGATAAAGAACTTCAAATATAGGAATTGCTTTAATCTTTATCTGTTCAATGACATTTTCTGCCGTCCAATAACCTTCACGATCTTTACCTGGCTCTAAATATTCACGAGCTTCTACTGGAACATTAGGGTATTGTTCAATATTTTCTGGTTTCAATTTCAAACGTCCATCAACTTCTGTTAAAAACTCGCTAATCATAATTGATTTACCATTACCTTTTTTCCGTAAAGGCAATTCACCATTTTTGGCCTATACACCACGTAATCCATCATTAGAATAAAAAATACATTTATCATGCGTTACTAAAATGTGCTCTTTTTCACCTTCTGCTAAATCAGGTAAGATCCGATCCATATTTTCACCTTCATAACGTGACATAAGCCTCTCATATTCAAAAATTTGTTTTAAAAAATCATTTCTATATTGAACCACATTCGCACGTTCATGTCCATCATAAAATATACCTTGCTTTTGTCTTTGCTTTGTATATCCAAGAATATGAAGCCAGCGGACTGCAGTTGAAATATTTATAGTTTTTTTCTTATTAATTTCCAACTTAGCTAATAGATTGTGTTCTATAAACTCTTTGAATTTTATAGGCATGACTTTGTAATTTTGATCTCGAATCCAAGCATGACATTCTTTAGCAACATCTTCATCATCAATTAATCGAATGGTTTTTTGATGCTTTCCTTGATATGATATAGGAAGTGCATTATGAAGAAGCCAATAATTAGCCCAATTTCGTATTTGACGAGCTTTCCAAACTCCACCATCAACAAAAACCATACGTGCAACATTTAAACTTGCTTCCATTTTCCCACCACCATTTTCATCTGATAGTTTCAAATACTCAAATATTGCTCGTTTCTTATTGTATTCATTAACCTTCATTTTATTGTGCTGACTTCCTAATTCTTCTTTCAAAGCCTTCATTCTTGCATCAATATTAGTCACTTTACATATGTTTTCTTCCTCTGATCCACTTTGTTCACTTTCATTTTCAATATTATGATCGGTATTAGATTGAGCTTTATATACGGGAAAAAAACTTGTGATCTTTGAGGTGCCAAATGCCGCTTTGGTAAATGAGCCACTTGGTCCCCACTTATCATAATATGTTGATTTTGGTGTCTTACATGCACTATATGGACCTCGTTTCTTTTTTTCAAATTCGTTATTTACATCCCACTCTAAAAACATAATAAATAAATAAAAAATTATTCTGAAATAATTGCTTTTATTTCTTACCTAACTCAATCATCATCAATTTTGATTGAGTATTTTTTTCCTTTTCTAAATCAAACTCATCCTCCCATCCACTGTCATCATCATCTCCCCATTCCTCTGCAGAAAATTCTAACTCAAGAGTGACGTCATCGGTCCCTTCTCTAATATTCAATTCATATTGTGTTGGATGGTTGTTATTGCTCCTTTTTTTTGTTCCAAACCTACCATCTGATGTCCGAAACTTTTGCTTGTAAAGTTTTTGTCGTTTCTTGACGGGCGGCATTTTTAATTTAATGATAACAACGCGTGGGAAAATGAATATTCTCAATATCTTCGTTACTGCGATTCATTATTTATACATGAAGATCAAAATTACATCATAAATCCATGTGAAATTTATCATTTCAGTTTTTCTGAATTTTTGATATTTACTAATAAAGACATATGATTTTACGCATTTTAAAACTTTAATAGTCCACCAAAAAATCATGTAATCTCAAATTAAAACCGATAGATTGAAAGAGAATAACCTAATCTATCATTCTATCGGTGTTAATTTTATAAATTACACAAAATGTAGAACTAGATAGATTTGGCAGTTACACGAAATTTTTGATGAGTATAGATGCGCCGCACCATATACTGAATAATTTGTTATAGTGTTAACGAAGTTGCTTATAACGAAGGCCTAATCAGCCAGGACTTAGAGTTCGTTATATCGAGAGGGACTATATATTGGAAAGAAGATACATTTGATTTTATTACAATTAAATAAATTAGTATATAAATTTTTGTTTTTCAAGTTAGAATATGATTATTAATTAGTATCCATGATATTATTTAAAATCAAATTTTGATTAGTACCAGATAGTATATAAAATTTATGTGCACAATATATACATATACATATTTTATTTTTATGTACACAATTTTTAAAATTAATGTGCACTATTGTGCACAAAATTTCTTAAAAGAAAATATTATAAATTAATAAAAATGTGCACTATTATGCATAAAAATTTTTTGATTGTGTATAAAAAAAATACTTTATGTATACATGTACATATAATTTTTTTAAGATTTTATACACTATTAGAATATTTTTCAAAAATACCCAAATGTGAATTTGAATGATACTTCAGTACCATTTGAAGATGGTACTATTAGTATGTAGCACTATACAGTAGATATCTATTGTGAAATAAATAAAAGTTATTATGAAATGATGAAAAAAAAAATGTAAAAAAAGTTTATTATAATTTATTATAAGCCATATTTTAAACTCTTAACTCAACAAAATTCACCTTAGTGAATTTTTCATAACTAGTAATATAAGCATGAAGATCAAAAAATATATGATAACATGGATGTTAAAAACTTATATATAATAACATGGAGTTATTTTTAGCTTTTTTCATATTTTTATCATTGATTTTATTTGATTTCATTAATTTTTTATTTTTTGAATTTGATTTCTATTTCAATTGCTTCATTTTTATATTTATTTTCAATTCTTTATCTCTTTCTTTATTTTTGTTTATCTTCATTTCACTTTATTTTATTTATTTTTTTTTTAGTCACTTATTTTCTACTAGTCCTATAATAAATAATGATTTTTTAACTTTAACATTATAAATGTATAATAACTTTAGCTTTAGTTTAACTTATAAATAAAATTTATTATTATTTGCAAAAAATAAAGTTAGCCAATCAATTGAAATATTAAAAATATTAAATTTATAAAATTACTTTTTAAAGAGGAGGAGGGTGATTTAACCTGGGTTATATAACCCAGGGGTAAGTTAGCAAAACTCTTTTTTATACAATCTATTTGTTTTATAAAATTTGAATTTTTTACTAATTTTATATTGTAAAAGAAGTTATATAAACAATTGAAGTAATTGCAGTACAAAAGATTCTTAATTAATTATTTAAAAATAATAAAAATATGGTAATATGTTTCTTATTTTGTGCCATTATTAATTAGTAGACTAGTAGTATTGTCATTGTTAGTTCATATATATATATATATAGTTCGTTAAGCTACCATGCATATGGTTTGGTTTTTTGTTGGTACTATGTTTCTTGATTACTGTCGTTCAATATTTATAACCAGATTTTTTTTTGATTTTGAATAACTCAATTAATGTTATTAATGTTAAAGAGTGGAAAAATTCCAAATATCTTGATTGTAATAATTCTTCAAATATCAATATATTATAGAAGATATGCTTAATGCTTTTCATGATTAGAATCTTATAGTTTTTCATTATATGCCGATGATGTTATTTATCTTGATATGTTGATGAAAGTATTGAATTAAATGATTTAAAGCGAGGATACAAAAATTCGATTGAATTCTATGGAAAATTTATATAATAAATATAGAAATAATGATGATATGAAAAGAATTCTTAGTTCTATTCGTGAATATGGATATTCTTTGGATGATGATTCTACATCACACAATCTGATCCATTCTTGTTTTGCGTCATTACCATTACCTTTTATGAAATCGAAATCTAGCGGGAATGTAAATTTAGAAATTTTCTTTCGAAAATTGATTTCTAAACATGAGAAGGGGATTTTTAAAGATTATTTGTGAAATTAAATATTACATCATCCATTCTTGTTTTGCGTCATTACCATTACCTTTTATGAAATCGAAATCTTCACTTTTTCGAAAATTGATTTCTAAACATGAGAAGGGGATTTTTAAAGATCATTTGTGAAATTAAACAATTTTGGGAAAATCAATTTGAAATCATTAATAAATTTTTTAATATTTTTGAGGCGTTATTAACGAAACGAAAGAAATTTTATTGTCTCAAAAAAATGTTCAAGATATTCGTAATAAATGGGAAGAAGAAAAAAAAAATAGGAATTTTACAAAATTCGTAAATTGCTTAATTAAAATGAGTTTTCTTGAACTAATATTTTTTTTCTATGTTTATATTCTTAATAAATATTATTATTATATAACGCATACAAATCAATAAATCAAATATGTTCACTATAATAAAACGAATATTAGATAACCGAAAATAAATTTAAATAGTTACTATTTACCAGGTGATACCGTATATTATTTCGTTATATTCTTTTTCCAATATCGCGTCACTGTTTTTTTAAAAAAAAAGATTGTGAATAAACAATTTTTACATTACAGAATATTGAATTCATATTTTTAAACAATTTTTATAAAATTCTTACTGCTAGAATCGAATCTCTATTCAGAGCTTGTCGCATATTAGCGCTGTAACTTTCAGAACTTGCAAGAATTTTTTTTGCTTTAGCCGAAATATTCATAGCGATAGGTTTTACTATTCGTTCATTTTGTTTTTCGTTACATTCCAACCTTTTAATAATTGCTTCAATCTCGATAATTTGTTTTTCCCAATGAAATTCACAAGCAGAGATAATATCATTAATATTAGAAAGACCATCTTGCATCTCTCGTAAATATTGTGAGAATTGTTCTCTAGCGCCTTCTAATTGATAATTTAGAATGCCACTGACAACAAATGAACTTCCAGCAACTGCAGTAGAAGTTGTAGCTGCAGCCGTACTGTGAAATTAATTTTATGTGACATGTGTTATAAACTAATTATAAAACTCGGATCAAAAAAATTTTTAAAAGAAAAAATTAAAATTACCCCCCGAGAATGGCCAAACTGCCAAGCCCAACAACAGACTCTGCAACCGCTGCAACAATGGATGCTCCTCCTGTGAACGGAGCTGCTAAAACTGCAGCAATACTCCCAATACCGGCTGCCATGGCACCATTTTTCGCACATGACCATGCATCATTCGTTACTTTATCTGCCTTTTCAATTTTATCGGGTAAAACTTCCCGTTTCTTGGTAATTTCCTCATCATATTTGAAAATTTCGGTAGCAATTCCATCTAAAGAAATTTTAATTCTTCTAAGGTGATTTTTTAATAATGTAGCTTTGGATTTATATAGCTTAGAATCATTCAATAAAGGTTTTAATAATTTCAACAGATCTTCGTCACTAATACTAACATCTTCACAACATTCAGCAAATACAATTAAATCGTCAGCATGAGTGCATAGTTTTAGATTATGAGTTATAGATTCTTCAGCAAAGTTTCGAAATTCCACTCTTTGAAGAGAAATTTGACTAATTTTTTTCTGAATAAAATTATTATCCTTAACTTTAATCTTACTAATTTCAGAAAAATGTTCAATAGATTGAACTATATTAATTTGTAATTCGTTCAAATCAGGCACAGTGTAAACTTGTAGTTCGTTCATATCGGAAACTATACTATTTTGTAATTTGTTCTTATCGGGCACAGTGGGACTTGAAGTGTACGTCATTTTGATTATTTCGTTAAAATTTTCAATTAAAAAAATGGGTGTAGTTTTTTAAGGTAGTTGGTTTTCAGAATGCAAGGAGATATTTTTTCTATATATCCTTACCTAAAAAAAAATTATAGTTTTAGGGTGAGGGTTAGCATAATATTAACGACCCCATTCGAAATTGTACCCATCGAAATGTATTTTGGGGAAGGTTTGTTATTTATTGGTTATAACTTATAACTTAACCTTTTACGTTGTAAAACATGCATGTAACAAGAAATATTACCTTGAATATTTGTAATTTGTGTACACATACCTAATTGTTTCCCAAATAGGATATATATGATACGTTATGTGAGCAACGTCGCTTCATTGACGGTTTTAAATCAAATTCGTTATCAATCATTCATAAGCCACAATGGGCATTTTTAGCTGACAATGAAGCTTTTTTCATGAGTAGATTTTACATAAATGTTATTTTAATTAGCATAATAATAGTGGTTATAAAAATTGTGAGGATAACTGATAATAACAATAAAAGATTCTATATCATTGTAAACCGTGTGAAATATTTAAAAAATACAAAACCTATTGTCTTAATAGAATCTTTTAATTTGTTATTATTGGTACTCAAACGGAGTAAATCACAATTATCAATATTGTAGTTTGGACGCATTATTAACGTCTTTAAATTCTAGATAAATTTTATATGATTGACATTCTCTCAATTTTTCATTTTACACTCTCACACTTTCAATAAAATTATGGTTATAAGTAAAGAGGAATCTCTTGATAACTTAATGGTAAAAGTAGAACCTCCTAACACGGATGTGTTTTATGTTAAAGACAATCTAAAAGAGATCCTTTTATATTTTAAAAGATGTGAAATAGGTTCATTTAATATACCTTTTATTAAAGAAAAGATTCATGAAATCAACAAACAAGGATTAGAATTTCATTGTTGTTTACAACAATCAATTACGCAGAGTAATAAACTTGAGTCTCATGCCGAAAATGTGATGGCTTATATACAAATTTTAGAGGACCCAATCTTTGATTCCAATCGTATTTTAGATATTTTAGAAACTCTTTTAGAAAATGCTCGAATGAATATGGAAGAAACTCAACAAATTAAAAATAAATATAGTGATATTAAGAGTAAATTAAGTAAGATTAACGATGAATTTTTTATACGTAACTATGAAGATGAAAGAAAGATACAATCATTACCAGAAAAAAAAGAAGAATTAAAAGAAATTGATGATGACAAGGATAGCTGGGTAACAGCTATCACTGGGATCTGTTTTACGATAGGATTTATCTTATTAATTTGTGGATTAGTTTCAAATGCACACAGATTCGACAAATCACTCGAACTATTAGGGTCTGGGATTGTTATTATGATAATTTCAATGATAATTGATTTATGGTTTAAGAAAAGAAATAAAATCAGAATTAGAAAATTAAAGAATGAAATCAAAGAATTAAATGCTTTAATAGAATTGAAACGTTCAGAAAAAGGGACTGATATAGAGAAATTGTGTAAGAATCTTTTCTCTGTAATAATTCAAGTAGAAGCTTTCAGAACTTATTGGGAAACTCAATATTATATACTAGATGATCTTAACAGAAACTTAAGAAGTGAAAGTCATAATTTAAAAAAGGATTGTTCTATTAATCAAAGTAAAAAAGTTTTGGTAGGACCTATTAAGAGTAGATGGGAACAAGTGAAAGCTCAATGTAATAATTATACCAAAGCTGTACGCACTCTTATTACAGAAATTCAAAAAACTTAAAAATGTGTGTAGTTGTATTATTTCCTGTTTAATATATCTCGTTAAAGATAAAAATTGGAATTTTTTAGTAAATTTCCTTTCGCGAATTTCATGTTGCGAATTAGTTACATCTAATAAAAATTGGGATTGATCCTATTGTAACACGTGATTTTATTTATCGTAACCCCAAAAATAAAAATGCCCCTCTTTTTAAAAACAGGGTAATGATTTGTGCACTATTTTAAACTGTATATTTGATAATTTTTTTTTAGGATCTGATTTTTTTTAATAAGATTTTTCTTTAAAAAAATTCTGATTCTTTTAGAATTTCTAAAACTATTTAAATACTGATAAATATTTAATTTCTCATTAAAATTCATTTTGTTCGATATGATAACGATAAATTTAGAATTGTGGCAAAATCCCAATTTTCCGCCTCTTGAAATTCTCGAAAGTCGAACGAAAACTGTATTAGAAAATTTTAACAGATGTAGAAAATTGAATATTAAACTTCATATAAAAAATGATAAAATTGAGGAACTTTATCCTTTGTTTAATTCTTTAACCGAAAGAAGAGCTGTGGAATCTTATAGACTTTCAATGTATGCTGAGGATGTTGTTATATATATGAAATTACTTTCTGAGGAAAATACAAGTATCGGAGTAGTTCTTGAAACTTTATCATCTTTATTGGATACAGCACAAGAAAGGCACGAAATTACAAAGATGTTGAAAGAAGAATATCAAGAATTTTTTGACAAATTTAATGGCGAGTTTTCTAACATAAAAGTAAATTTGACATCAGATAATAGACAAATTGCCACCAGAAACGAGGCATTTTCTGTGTCATCTGTGTCATCTTCCTATTCGTTTTTTGATAATCTGATTAAGTTTGTAAACTATACCATCCCAATTTTATCTGTCTGGATTTCTTATAGACTTATTCGCCCAATTATTCGTGAAAACGGGTTGAATCTTATGATTTATCTACTTTACAAAGGAAAGGAATACGTTTTACCAAAGTATCAGGATAGTCAAGAGAAATTACAAGGTGAGGATAGAGATTTAGGAAATAATAACAATAATTACATTGAAGGTAATGGAAGAAATGATGAATCTTATCCTACAAAAAAGTCGTCTAGCATACTAAATTTTATACTGAGCCCCATAAAAAATCTATATAATAAATGGAATGATATTAATCGGAAAGAAAACTATCAGGAAGTCGGAAGAATCAAAAAGGATATTAATTTTGACGTGGACTGTGATACTAAAGAACGGGATTCAATAGAAATAGATCATCATGATTCAGCAGATGTAAATAAACGTGATCCAACAGCTGAACTTGATTTATCTACAAAAACAGATGTAAATGAACTTTGTCCAACAGCTGGATTTGATTCAGCAAAAACAACAGACTTAGGTAACATTAACCCGGCAACAAATACAGTTGTGGGTTCAGATTCTATAAAATCATTGAAAGTTGGCGAAATAAGCTCGGCGTCATCTGATCACAGAAATATGCTCATTAATTTATGTCCATCCATAGACATCATAGTTGCCGGTTTTTTCAGTGTTTGTATAGGTTATTTTATTTACATAATTTTGCGTAGAACAAAGTCAACTCAACGTCGATGGTTGATAAGTTATTTTATGAACAAAAAGCCTAAATTTCGACAGGTGTCAGTGTCAGATGAACAGCAACAAAATTATGAAAAGGACGACAAAATCTTGGAAATTAAAGAAAAACTTCCAGTGGTCATTCAAAATGTTGGGATTTTAGATCAATTTTGGTTTAATCAAGTTACCAACATCAAATCTCACATTGAAACTTTAAGTTCAGTGGATGAAAACGAGAAAATTAGATTTCCAAAACAAATTGCCGATCCAATTAAAGAAGAATGGAATAACCAGCATAAAGAAACCAAAGCAAATCATGCTCGGATGAAAGATCTCGTGACCCGTAATTCTCTTCTTTCCATTGATGTAAGTATTCTTCGTAAAAATTCTCGTAAATTGATTTTGAGTAATTTAAAATTAAGCGGTACTAATATTATTTCATTAAATTTAGTGAGATATATAGGTGATACCCATCTCAGGATATTACCAAGTAGGTTCTGTTTATTTTTTCGAAAAGATAATAAATGTTGGGAATTTATGTTGCAATCTTTGTCTTTATGAGCGAGATAGTATCTGAACTTTAACGTAATTATATTTGTATTAAATGTACGTATTATACTATTAATAAACATATTATTATTCTTATTGCAACAATTATCATTTACTATTATTTTCGCCATGTTAACAACGGAATAATGGATAAATTTAGTTTTTATAGTGTACAGTATAACAGTCTAACCTAATCGTGATTCTAACTCCAAAGGTGTTAGCAAATCATATTATATAAATTCGATATTTTTTTACATTCTTATTCAGTATTAGGAAAATATGTGAAGTTGAAAATTTTAAATGTCAGGAAATCACTGATTCTGGATTTAATAATCGATAAATATTGTTGAACGACGTGCGATATTACGAAATGGGTGGACCGAGATCGTAGTAAAATGCACTTAATGCTTGTGAAATATCAATTTAATTAATATACTAATAAAATTAGTGTTACCATGAAAATGATGTTTATTATAAAACTTTTAATACATTAACCAACATATGATACCCTATATCATTCGTAAATACTACATAATTCACAGCCTTAATTTTGAAATCATTAATTTCCATACAAAGAAAACTTATATAAATTTTGAAGGTAACTTTTCCCCTTTCCTCTTGTTCCATTCCTCGTTAATCTCTTCTACTTTTGATACAATTCTTCAATATCAAGACTCTAGGCAATTTCTGTTGTTTAACCAAATAACATATTCAGTTATGAGTTTCATAATAAAGATAATATATTACTGTTCTTTTTAACCTTCAGTTTCCTGAATTTGTTAAGAATTAGTGGCATTTTAGTGGCTATAAATTTGTTAAAAGTGAAATACTTTTGTTCATTAATTTTAATTTATCAGACTTGAATCTTTATAACTTCAAGTAAATTCATCAAGATTGGTTCGGGCAATTGAAGAACTTTACTATACCATCTGCTTTGTAATCTGTAAATTGAGAATCCACCTTGATAGAGATAACATTCTTCATAATTCCCTTCATTTTAGTGACAGCATATAATGACTGGAAGCGCTTTGTATGCTGGTCGTAGGGTGTTTGCTGAGTACTGAAATTTTATCTGTTTCATTTAAACTATTTTCATAAATTCCAAAATCCAAAGTCTGACCAAATAACATCATATATTCGCGCACCTTCGTACTAAATATCCTTGCTTAAAGAGATCGTGATCCCAAATTCTTTCGATAGTAAGTATTCTATATCTAGATGGATTGTGATCTCTTGTATGATTCAAACCTGTGAACAACAGTATAAGTGTTCCTCTTGAAAAGGAAAAAAGATTACATAAGTGTTTTGTCCCCCTGTTAATATCATACCAAATATTAAGCAACAGTACTCTACTTAAACAGAATCACTACAAAAGATAACTCATGAACAGGAATGTTTAGTCAGTTGGACAGAGCGTAAATTCATACAAAAAGCCATCAGTCCTTCAGCCATCAATTACCAATAACAAAAAAAAAAAAAAATTTTCGAATAATGTTACAACAAATAAAAGCAATTTTCTCAGCTCATGTTTGTGAGGTTACAAGTTATCTTATGGTGAAAACATCAGATCGGAGTGATTGATGATCAGTTACACAACTGAAACTATCATTTTGCAATTTTGCCACGCGCAATGTCTCATATAAATTCTTCCGCAAACTCCGTTCGATAGGTCTATTTAAGACTTTTCGTTTTTTTTTCCTTTGACATATTAACAAACTCTAGGTTTCCAGGATTGACAAAATGGTAACTGTAAGTACGTTTCTATAAAATGTGGTATGGATTTATAATATCTCTCTAATAAAAAATTTCTTACTATTAGGAAAACGCTCCTGTTCTAGCTCCAAAAACATTGGTTCATATTAATGATTTTAGGAATCCACCTATTCCAGATAACAATGGTTTGGAACAAGCAGTACGCAATGTCCTCGAACATTTAAGTTTATGTTCCAATGAAAATATAAGAAATGCCTTTTTAAATAATAAAGTTAAAGAACTTATTGAACAAGCTAGGATATATAATGATCTGACAGTTGATAGTATCAAAGATAGTAGAATCATGGCTGCATATGCGTCAGATTTTAAGGAGTAAGTTATATAAATAATTTAAACGATCTATTTTGTTCCATCTTTTACATTTTAATTATTTATTAATCAATTATTTAGGTATGTTGAAATATTACGGGAAGAAGATGTTTCGGGAACGGATTTTATTGAAGCCATGAAATCTCAATATCAGGCTGCGATATCTAATAAAAATAGCTCAGCCAAATTGACAAAAAGTTATTGTGATATCTTAGCTATAATCAAAAATGTTTGTAATGATCTTGAAGAGTTTAATCGTTCTAATAGCATAGAAAAAGAATTAGAAAAAGATGCAGAAGATGCTAGAAAAGAATCAACTAATCATATGTTCGCAGCAATCGGTACGGGAGTTGGAACAGGACTAGCCATCGCTGCAGCACCATTCACAGGTAAATGGGTAATTCAACTCATTCTGTTCTTTTTATTTTGAACAAACTTAAATAAAAGATGTCTATTTTTAAGGGGGAGCTTCTTTGGCTGTTATTGGAGCTCTGGGAGTCAGTTCAGCTGGTGCAATGATTGGAACGTCCATAACAAGTGTTCAATTTGGTGATAAAGCTAAGGCTACTGAACTTGAATTAAAACGAATCGAAGAAACCAAAACTCATATTAGAATTGCAATCGCAGGGCTTGTAACAATGGTAGATAAATTCAGTTCTTTTGATGAATTTTTCCAAAAAGAAGCTGAAGATATCAACAAAATTATTGAAAAGTACGAACATGATGTTCAGAATATCACTTTTCGAATGTCTCGAATGAAAAGTACCGCAATGAAAAAACAATGGTCTCGAATACAACAATTGTTTGAGTCTTATATAGATTCAGTAAAACCTTTATTAAGTGAGAGACGTAACTCAAATGTTGGTGCGAGTAACGGGGAAGTAATCTTTGAATATAAATAATTACATCTTTCTTTGACACAGAAAATATAAATTATGATATTAGTAGATATAAAATATGAACAATTGTATGTAGATCTATCTAAGATTTTGTTTTTATTTATTTATTTATTTTTTTAAAAAAATTTGTAAATTATATGTGTATCCTTGAGGCTTTGATAATAAAAAATACTTTGGGCACAGCAAGAAAATCCTCGTGATCTGTTCATCAAAATTCTAAATATAGAAAACAAAGGATGATTTCACACCTCTATGCATATAATAACATGAAATAACAAAGAAAATAAAAAATTCGATTCTTTTTATTTTATTCTTTTAACTTTACAAGGTACGATCTACTTTTGATTACTCCATCGTTTTTTTTTATTGTTTTTCTTTTTTAAAAAAAATATTTTTTATTAAAAAAAAACTATGTTTGATTTTTTCACTAAAGTTAAAAAAATGACTGGCTTAGAAGATACTAACGGAATAAATGACACTCCTAATATGCAATCACTCGGGAATGCAATGTCAAAAGCTGTTAGGGAATTCGCACAATGTAGTCTACTAGAAAATGAAAATGATTTCGTTTCTCAAAAAATCAGTGAAATTAGAGAGCAAAGTGAAAATTTTCAAGAATATGCAAGAGAGTCGATTAATCAGAGCGATAAATTATCAAAATATGCTGAAGAAGTTGTAGTATTTGCTGTTGCTTGTTCAGATCCAAGTTTTACAAAAGAGGAACTTTTAGATTTTTTGAAGTTAACTTTGGAAGATGCTAAAAAGAATAAAACTAAAACGGAAGAATTAAAAGCAAACATTAGTAATGTTATGGCAAGATTAGTCAATGTACAAAACGAATGTGTTCAATATAGCAATGACATTCAGACAAATGCTAGAGCAATGAATTCTAATGTTGTTAACGAATTAGAAAACAGAGAATTTGAACAAAGATTATTTAGGACTGCTTACAAATTTGGAACTGGAGCTGCTATATTGGGCACAACAGCTTCTATTATTGCGGCACCATTAACTGGAGGAGCTTCTTTAGCAATACCTATTATTGAATCTATTGTGGAAGGAGGATTGATTATGGCTGGAGCCACTGGCGCAATTGCTTTAGGATCAAGATATGCATATAATAATAGAAATAACGAGATTAATGCTCTTAATAGAAGGCTGATTATAGAAAGAGACGAGCTAATTACTCAGATTTGTTCATTGAATGGAAATCTTAGTTCAATCATTCACGATTCTTGTGATATCTTAAATTTCTGGGATGAACAAATTACTACTCTTAACGATCTCATAGTAAAACTTGAACGTTTTGACAATAATGATGGAGAACGTCCTTCAAGATTAGTCACATTAACCATTCAAAAGAAATGGAATAATGTTAGCCGAGAATGTAAGGATTATAATCGCACTATGAGGGCTGCTTTACAAGTGACTAATATGGTAAATATATAAATTTATATTTTGTGATAATTAATTTATAAAAATATATTAAACCTTTTTTCCACTCTCTCGGAACATTTTAGGTTACTTCCGATTAATTTTAAATTATTTCAATGGAACAATTTAATATATATCATTTTTTTTTAACCGTACATGTTACATAGATTGTAAAACTATTTTGTCAAATTTATTAGTGTAGTGAAGTAATATTACTAATATAGTAATATAAATAAGTAGAAATGCATTAACAATAAAGTTATTTTTCGTTCAATAATATCTTTCCTGCTTGTAACGTTTAAAATTGGTGGCCAATACTAAGATTTCAAGATTCAGGTATTCAAATACTAATGTATGTTAAGAAAATAATTGCGCTGATAAATAAATGTTAAGGGGCTGAAATTTTATTTATATAATATACTTTATTAAATATTATTTTTTTTTTTCAAAAATAATATGAATATATATATTTAAAACTTGTGTAGTTTAATTAGTTTTCTCAAGTGAAATTAATATATTTTGTAAAGAAACTAAGGAAACACAGTTCTAATAAAATATGATATTCCCCATTTTGCTGAATATCTGATTTGCAAATTCCCAATTAATCCGAGTCGATCAACTTGGGGATAGGTTACACGCTGTAAAAGTGAGACAAAAATCAGTAATTTACAATCATAAACTTATTATCCAAAGAAACATGTGCATATTATTTATACTTGAATGATTTTCAATGAAAAAATATTTATTATGATTATATCCTTATTGAAACTAAATAAAGTAATATGTAATAATGATATAAACCAACCAATTTTTATTACATAATTAAATACAAACTAACAACTAAATTATTTACAGTAATTAAAATTTCAAATATAAAATTTTATTCAAAATGATAAAAAATATCGTTGCCGATTTAATGACTTGTTAGAAACTTTAAAAATTCTTTTTTCAAATACATGTGTGCACAATATCTCAATATCTATACTAAAATAGGGCAGATCATTATTTTAAAAAAAGGAATTCACCATATTAAACATATGCCATTCAAAAATCGGGAATATATAAAAATAGATTATTTGAACATTTCTTACATAGATTTAAAATCTTTTCATTTGTTTTTATTATTTTTTATTTTATTTTATATGATAATTTATTTACACAAATATTAAGAGAATAATGCAACAAGGGAAAATAGTAAATGAAACTTCGCCACTCCTTCAAAATCCTAGCATAAATCAAGCTACAAAATCGAATGCACGGAATGCTATATCATTTGAAGAGAGATTAATTGATGCTGAAATTGATACAGGAGAAATAGAAGATACGTTCTCATGGAGAAAATTATGGAAATATACCGGCCCTGGTGAGTTTCATTATATAATCTTAATTAAGCGTATCGTTCAAGAATGGGTTGAACTTAGCTTTTACTTTCTTAATGCATTATTTATTCGCGATTGAAAATAGAAAGTTATTTATTTATTTTCACTTTTTAGGACTCCTAATGTCTATAGCATATTTAGATCCTGGCAACCTAGAAGCGGATCTTCAATCCGGTGCTGTTGCAGGATACTCTTTGGTATTTTTATTTATTTTCTTATGTGCATTTATTAAAGTTGTAATTGAACCCTGAATCTTTTTTTTTAATTAGCTTTGGTTACTGTTAACTGCGCACATTGCTGGTCAATTAATACAATGTTTGTCAGCAAGATTAGGTGTCGTGACGGGAAACCACCTCGCGCAACTGATTAGACAGTACTATCCGCGTCCAGTATCCATTGCATTTTGGTTAATAACAGAAATTGCGATTATCGGTTCAGATATTCAAGAGATAGTTGGAACAGCGATCGCTCTTAAGATTCTCTTTAGAATACCACTTTGGGTGGGAACATTGTTAACGGCAATGGATACATTCACATTTATGTTATTACAAAGCTACGGCGTGAGAAAACTCGAGGCATTGTTCATGGTATTAATTAGCACGATGGCAATTTGCTTTTGGATTGAAATGTTTATGAGTGATCCTGATGTTGTAGATATAATTAAAGGAACTTTAATTCCTACTATTCCAAGAAAGGCTTTTGTAGAAGCTGTGGCAATTATAGGCGCATGTAAAGGGTTTATAAATCATTTCTCGTGAGTTTTAAGGAATTAGAGCAATTAACTAAATATTCAAATATTTTTAGTTATAATGCCGCATAATTTATATCTTCATTCGGCACTAGGTAAGTTTGATCAAGCACCTTTTTAATTAATTATTATTGATTATCATGAATTGTAATGACAAATTTTTTCTTAAATTAGTAATGACACGTAGAACAAATAATGCATCTAATTCCAAAATCAAAGAAGCCAACTTTTATTTTTCTCTCGAGAGTGGAATAGCACTGTTTTTTTCCTATTTAATAAATATGGCGATTGTTACAGTTTTTGCCAAAGTTTTTTATTCCTCTAACGAAGATAGGCCTTTACCAGGGTTATATGATGCGGCTGATGTTTTAGCAAACACCTTGGGAGATGCATCACGGTATTTATGGGCACTTGGGTTGTTGGCAGCTGGAAGTAGTTCTACAATAACAGGAACTTTAGCAGGACAATATGTTATTGAGGGATTTTTTGGAAAAATCTTTAAGAAACCATGGCATCGTCTTTTGATCACTCGATCTATTGCATTAGTGCCTTCTATGTTTGTAGCAGTATATTCGGTAAGATGATTTAATTTCAGTAACAAGTAGTTTTTTTTTATTGTATATATTAAAAAGAAATTTAAAATTATTAGGTTAATAATTTTGATAACATGGGAGAAATTTTAAATGTTCTTCAGAGTCTTTGCCTTCCTACAGCATTGATCCCATTGATGAAACTTACTAATTCAAAATCAGTAATGGGAAAAAATTTTAAAACCAATGATTTTTGGAGATATATTTCATGGATTATAACATTAGTTATTATTGGAACAAACTTGATTTTATTTTTAGAGCAATTAAATAAGATGCCAAATTTATTTTTAGGATATATTTGTGGAGGAATTTATTTTGTTTTTATAGTTTATATTACTTTTTTGCCAATTAAAGAGACAAGAGATCTTTTAAAGATTAATAATATCTCAGATTGATTTGTAATTTTTTCAATTATGTATTTTCCTAAGTTTTAAAATTTTATTTAGCTAAGTTAATAATTAATTAATTTTCCTAGAATTCACAAATTTTTTTTATTCCCCTAATTTAGAACTAATTAATAGACTTTTTTCAAAATGATAATTTTTTAATGTCTAATAAAGGTTCCTTATTATACAAAAAAAAATTGTACATCTTATTATGTAACTTTCGGGAATTGCGGCTTAATCTAAATGATCAACAATTGTCAACAAAAAAGATAAAAAGGTCTTGCAAAGAATTCTTTTTTAATAACTTTTCTTTTCATTAATAATGTTTGGAAAAAAACATTTTACTTTTGGGGACATTCCTGACTTATCCAGAAAAGTGGCAATTGTCACTGGCGGAAACACAGGAGTTGGGTACATTACAGCAAGAGAATTAGCTCGTAAAAACGCTCACGTATTCGTTGCAAGTCGTAGTAAAGAACGTGGTGAAACTGCAGTTGAAAATATCAAAAAAGAAACCGGAAATAATCAAGTGGAGTATTTACATTTGGATTTAGTTAGCCTTAAAAATGTAAAACAATCCGCTGAAAATTTTCTTGCGAAAAATTTACCATTGCATATTCTGTTAGTTAAAAAAAAAAAATTATTACTTTTTTTTTTATATTATACATTATTAAACCTTTTCCTTTTTTAGTGTCAATAATGCTGGAATTATGGCTACGTAAGTTTATTTCATTACTATCTTAATTTTCGAACAAATGACCTAAAAAAAAATTTTATAGTGCATGGACATTAACTGAAGATGGAATTCAAGACCAATTTGGTGTGAATCACGTTGGACATTTTGTAAGTTTAATAATATACATTCACGATAAAGAAAATATATATACTTATCTTAATCATATATTTTTAGCTTTTCACACAGACTCTTCTTCCTAAAATTGAAGCTTCAGCGCCTTCTCGTATCGTGAACGTCAGCAGGTTAACCAATTAAATTAATTTTATTTTAAGTAAATTCTCAAATAATCAAATATTTAATAAAATATTCTTTTTTTGAAAAAAAAGTTATGCTCATTTTAATGCACCTGCTGCGGGAATTGAATTTGACAAAATTAATCAAGAAAATGCACAATCAACTTTTCAACGTTATGCTGTATCAAAACTTGCCAACATTCTTTATTCAAATTCATTAGCAAAGCGACTTGAAGGCAAAGAAGTTTATGTTAATTCAATTCATCCAGGTACATTTACAAATTATATTCAAAATAATTTTTTTTTTTTAGAAATCTAATAAATTTCCTTTATTATTAGGATTTGTTAAAACTGAATTAAGTAGAGGAATAGTCGATACTTATGGAATCGTTGCAAAATATTTCTTTAATTTTGCTAGTTTATTTGCAAAATCACCTGAAGATGGCGCCTTGACACAATTATACGCTGCTACAAGCCCTGAAATTATTGAAAAAAATTATCGTGGAATGTATTTTGTACCATCTGGTGAAATCGGAAAAAGAAGCGAGGAATCTCAAAATGATGAACTAGCTGAAAAATTATGGAAGTATACTGAAGATTTAGTTAATGAAAAATTACATTCTTAACAGAATAGATATTTGAAATAATATTATTTTACTTATTCTTATATTGTAATAATAAGAGAAAGCTCTAAAGATTATTTATATCAGTAATTTTTTTGTATTTATTTTCCTACAATTTCGATTCTTGAAAGAAATAATATATTTTTGATGATTTTGTTGAATATATTTGGAATGCCGCCCAATTTCCATCGGAGTGGTCATTCTCTTATGTTAGCCATCAATATTGTAATTGTGATTCATATTAGGTTGTAAATTAAATTTGCTGTTTATACTTGCTGTTAGAATAGTTTATGGCCGATAATAGTATTAAGTCGTTTTGGCTATGGCATCATATTAATCTGAATTTAAAAAGGACCTTTATGTGTACGTTTCATTTTTTCCATTGTGTTTGGTTGAAATTTGGATGGGTTTCAAATGTGGTATTCATAAAATTGATCTAATCACTCAAGATGAAAAACCTCTTGTATAACTTATCATGATTTAGATTCTGCATTTCTAAATATGCAGAGCTTACCTAAAAAATTATTTTGCGTGAATGTTATACAATATAATCAGAATTTCAATTCCTTCATAAATAACAGACTTCTTTTTTTTTTTAAGAAAAAATCTTTTACCACCTCCCAAAAAAATAAAAAATAAATATGTATTTAATTATCCTTCTTAATTTAAAAATTCATAATATATTGTATATAAAGCAATCAAGGCTTTTTTTTTAATTGATGTAAATTGTAAAATATTTTTCAAGAATCATTTTTTTTTAATACTTGAATTTTGAAATTTTTGATAGTATATTGACTACAAATATTAAAATTATTGGCTTAGTTTTCACGTGGACAATCATGTGAATCACGACAACGCGTTTAACGCGTACTGGAATTTTGTACGTTTTACAATAAACCTTTAAAAATAAAGTTAAATAACGTTATAACGAGAATTTAAGAAATTAATGCCTACTTATCCTTATACTCAGTGGCGAGATTGAACAACAGAAACATCGTATTCGTCTTAGACGGTATTATTGAAATCAGTTTAAATGGTTTTATGGAAATCGTTGATAGCGCAATTGAAAGTGATCCAAAAACTAGGCAAAGTCTTCAAAGGTTGGTAGATTTCTTCATTCATGTTGAAATGATTGCAATTTCAGAGTATGTTATTAATGTATGTTCATTCTATAGCAATGCAAATTTCATATTCTATCAAAGACAATATTCCTTTCAATGTGGAGCCACCGCGGTCAAAATCATTGTAGTATATAAGTGACGCTGATCAGATAACTAAATGTGATTTTTATAGTCTCATTTCTCTATTATTTTAGAGCATGCTATTATATTTACATAATGCATCGCATGCCGGAAGGATTATACGTTTTCTCTATCCCTGAGAAATCACTGTGATGGCGCAGTTGTCGCAGCGTACATCGTTTTAAATTTCCGCGCATGTGATTGAATGTAGATAGGCGCGGTATTTAATAATGGCGCTTACTATTATTTTATTTTATATAAGAACGCATATGACTTCATAGGTTGCGCACAAAACTTTTAATGAATAATGCGCTTCGCGCATATAAAAATAATCTGAATTTCCAACACTGTGGCTGAGATCAAGATTTCTACATGACCAATGAACTGATCGAAAAGGTTTATTTTTTCAAAGGTTTGGATTATGCCAATTTCTTGACGCGCTTTCTGATCTACAAGACATTTAACATCTTATTTTGATATCAAAGATCCATACTATGGAATACTATACAAGAATGTGGGAGATCATACAGAATCCGATCCGAGCCGAACATATATTTTAACAAAAAAAAGATTTACTCACTCAAGTATCACCATCAAGGAAAGTCAAGTGGAGAATGATGTAGTTTACATTAAAATTTTTATTATCAGGAATATGCGGAGTTTATTAGGTGTAACAATATTGTTGATATTGTAATGTTAGTATAGTGTAACAGTATTGTGATATCATAATGTTAGTATTGTAAAATTAATTCTTATTGGTTGGTTGTTTCTTAATGATCAAAGAGATTTTGTCGTAGCAAATGCAATATTTTTTTGGTCGATTTGTTATCTTGTTATTTATGTATACTAATTTTTCATCGCACTATAACTTTGAAATTTTTACTTTATTTTGTCATGAAAGTAGTTACAGTGTCTCCAGTTTTTTTACTTTTATGCTTTCATCACAGTATTATGAAATCACGTGGACAGCGAGATAAGAATATAAGATCATCGATTTTCGTGTAACATTATGCTGCGGTTATACTGTATTATAATTGATCATCAAATAATATATATAAGATCCCAAATCCCGTCCTGATGCTCCAATTTCTGCACCGCGTAAACATACCGTAATTCATTAATTCATCAGCCCCTGTATACAGCATCGGCTAAAAATGACGACACGGTAAAGTTCATCACCATTTACGAAAGTAATATCGAAAAATTATTTTTTCTAAATCTTTTTTCGAATTTCTAAAATTACTATGCAGTTTGGACCGTTTGGTCCTTCTTCTGGATACAGGATCTACACCCGCTGTGCGTGCAACGGCTGCTCAACAGCTGGGAGAGATTCAAAGGCAGCATCCCGGAGAGCTACATAACTTGTTATCGAGGGTGCTGTAGTCCATTTCAAATTAATTTGATCAAGTCTTAGTAAATTAACTAAAATTCACAACAAACTAAAGCTCATTGCGCGTACATTTATTAGGTTATTGTGCATTTGAGCAATAAAGAATGGGATACCCGAATTGCCGCTGGACAAGCGATCGAGGCCATTGCTAAAAATGTGCCCCAATGGGATCCTCCCGAAAGTATGTAAACAACTTTTTTGTTTTCACTTTTATTGTATTTCATTATTACATTGTCATTTTCTCTCCCTCTTTCTTTTTTTTTTTTGACATAATCATTTACTTGACTACATTAAAACCTTATTATAGTTATCAAATTAGAAAACGAACAGTGTTCTGTAAATGAAACAAATGATAATAAATATTCGTTTGAAACGTTTGATATTGCAAGTGTATTGCAGAAAGGTAAAACTTTGTTGGGCTCAGCTGGCAAGGTATGAAGAGATGTGATTCATTAAGTATTTATGTCACGTGACTTTAAGAAATTGAAATGTTCAATATGTACGTGTTAGGAATATGATCTTGATTTGAGCGATCTAGATCCGGCACAACGGCTAGCACTTCAACATAAAAACCTTAAGGAAAGATTAGGGTTAGGTAGCGAATTTATGGATGGTGAGTTAAAATACGGCAATAGCTTCAAGGATCAGAGGTCAAACTATTGTTTTGGTTTTAACTCATAATTTAATCTCACTTATATAGTTGATTTGTTGGATGATGTGGATATAAGTGGAACTTCAGCGCCACAAACTATACAAACACAAAAGACAGAGTTTATTGCACAACAACTACCTTCGCAGCCTCGTTCTCCTGGGTTGCCCCCCGAAGAATTGGCTGGGTTAAGTGCACGAGAAAGGAATAAATTGAAAAGGAAAGCAAAAAGTGACGCAAAAAACAAAGGAAAAGAAAAGTATGTGAAATAACATTCATTACGTGTAAACTGCGCAAGTTACGTTATTGATTTTGTATTTTTAGGATGCGTGTAGTCGAAATGAGTGGAAGGAAAACAGGTGCTGAAACCACAGCACCACTTGCAGCCCCTGTTTCGCCATCTACTGTAAAAGTTGAACCTGATGGTAACTTTTATATTATTGTTGTCAAGTAAATATTCTTTTACACACACTAACGTTTTTATAATGTATTAAATATAGTACCTGATTCAGCACAAAACGATGGTTATTTTAATTTTACACCGCAACCTTGTTCTAGCAAGATTGTGGTTGAGGCTAAGAAAGACAATTCTACTAATGTATCAGATGAACAATCTAATGAATGGCCATTTGAGAAAGTGTGTGAATCACTATGTGTGTCTTTATTTAAGTAAGTTGTAATATGGTTATTAATTTGTTTACAAAGGAGCTTTATATATTTACATGTAAATATAAATATTTTAGTTCGTGTTGGGAAGTTAGACACGGTGCATGTATTGGGCTGAGGGAAATATTAAAAGTACACGGAAGTGGTGCGGGGAAAGTTGGTATGTGATTTAATTCAAGTACTGTTTAGAGATGAATTAGCCTAATAATACTTCTTTCTAAATTAGTGGGATTAACCAAGGCAGAAAACGAAGCACGTCATAATAAATGGTTAGACGATATAGCAATTCGGTTGCTTTGTGTTTTTGCACTAGATAGGTTTGGAGATTTTGTATCAGATCAGGTAAAGAAATTGAGAAATATTTTAATATTAAGCTATATTAGCAATATTATACTTATAACTACTTCCCCGTAAAGGTTGTTGCACCCGTACGTGAAACGTGCTCACAGACTATGGGTGCCCTTTTACGTTATATGTCTCCTGAGGGTGTTGAAAATGTACATAAAGTATTATTGAGAATGATTTATCAAACAGATTTAATTAATAGTTCAACATCAATATGGGAAGTTCGACATGCTGGAATGTTGGGCTTGAAATATGCTGTTGCTGTCCGTAAGGACTTAGTGAATATGTTGTTGGATGGTACTGTCGGCGCTGTTATATTGGGGTATGCATTTTTCGTTGATATCCATAAATGATTAAAAACAGATGTACTTATATATAACTTTTTGCTTTTCTAGATTAAAAGATAGTGACGATGATGTTCGTGCAGTAGCCGCGTCAATCTTAATTCCAATTGCAGATTCCTTCGTTAGTTATTCATCTAATAAGATACCTGAAATTGTTTCAGTTTTGTGGGATTGTCTAAAGGATCTGAAGGATGATTTAACTGCGTCCACAGCAAGTGTGATGGATTTCTTAGGTATGTATAGAATGTTTAAGCGTAAATACTTATATTATTTATACATGGTTGACTTTACAAATTTTTTCACAGCCAAATTATTTTCATTCCCAAGTGTCCTGGAATATATGCGTATTGCTGCTGCATCAGATCCAAGGTATAGTGCCGTGTAATGTTCGTTTAAACCTAAAAGACAATAAACTAACAAATTTTAATTTATATCGGAAATTAGTCATTCTTTAACAACGTTAATACCAAGATTATATCCGTTTTTTCGGCATACTATTACTTCTGTACGTTCAGCGGTTCTTAATACACTTTTAACTTTTTTGGGTATGAATGATGTAGAAGAATGGGTTGACCATCGTACTTTCAGGCTTGTGCTTCAAAATATGATAGTCGAAGAAAAAAAGGTAAACAATCTTTAAGATGTTCATTTTTCTGAGAATTTATCTAAATTTTAAAACTCCTTATAGGAAGTTCTTGATTTATCCGTCAAAGTTTGGTCCGCATTAGTATCTCATTCGGCATTACCTTATCAAAATAAACTTTTCCAATTCACATCACAACATATTTCTACTTGGTTCATGATTGTAATGACACCGCTAGGCACTCCAATTGATCGTCGGTTATTTTTTGTACCCGAAGGAACAATCCCAATGGATATAGTTCCTACGTCAGCACCTTCTGCTACCTCATCAGTTTCACGTCGACGAGGACAGAGCCGTAACCAAACAAGTAATGGGAATATGGATGAGTCAATTGGTCATAATATTGATGCTGGAATGTTACAACAGGATTTTGCTCTAGTTAGTGTAGATATAGTGTTAAGGGGAAGAGTCTCCGCTTCCAAGGGGTTGGGTATGCTTATGAGTAGATGGCCAAATGAAGTAAGTAAATTATATTTATTAATTTTGTTATTTTATATAACTTCAATTATTTATGTCTATCACTCTGTACAATCAGTCATTGGAAGCAACGTTTAAGGAAATACTTGTGTCTTGCCTTTCATCTTCATGGGCCTCAAATAAGCAACTTGCGGCTGTCATCATTGAAGAATGGTCAAGATCAGTTTTAGACAATAGTGGTCCAGACTACCAAAATCCTTTGATTGAATCTTTACCTTTCGCATCGAATATTTCTGAATTTATGGTTCAAATGCTCGAGTCTGAGCCGCCAAGTTTCTATTCGGAGCTCGTTACTATACTACGTCGTATCAGGGGCGAATGCCAAGCAATGTTGAATACTTTTGTTTCTGTAGGCAGAATTAATTCTGCTAATATACCTGTTTTACCTATGCACGCTCTTGGTGAAGTACAAGCAGATCCTTCAACATTATTTAGTGTTGAAATAGCGGCAGATCTTGCAACAACAACATTCGACAATTTATCTGCTCAGGTTTCTGGAAGGAGTAGAAGATCTGCACAAGTCCAACCAGAAGAACGACATTTGCAACTACAGGATCGTAAGCGTCGTGTGTTGGCTTCAATTGGTTATTATGAGTCAACAAAACAAAAAAATGATATAGTAGTATTTGCGGCTATAGCAGGAGCTGTTGTTGCATTACGAGCTTTACCGCCGAAATTGAATCCGATAATCAGATCTATCATGAATTCTATTAAGTCGGAGGAAAATATAGGTTTACAACAACGTTCTGCAGCTACTTTAGCCAGTCTTGTTTCTCTTTGTTCAGTGGCAGATAATTCAGTTAGAGTTAATCCTAATGAAAAAATTGTTAAGAATTTGTGTACTTTCCTCTGTTCTGATCCAACTACAACTCCTGATATACAGAACAATCACAAGAAGGAAGGTATTCTATCATTACATAAAGCTAAAGAACCAGACAAAACTTCATCTAATGGCGATGCCTCAAGTGATGATGAGAGACTCAGATCACAAAAATTAATAAGGCGTGGTGCTGAAACAGCTTTGAGAGAATTCGCTACACAATTTGGCCCAAAATTATTTGAAGTAGTACCAAAATTATGGACCTGTATGCGTTCATCACTTGATAACGTATTTAGCCATGGTATGTGCATCTGCTTAATAATAAATGATTATTGTTGAATATGGTAAATTAAATAACTCTTTCATAAACCATATAGACGACAGAGATAAAGTAGATGGGATACTTGATACTGATAACCATATAGGGCAAGATGTTATTGATTCTCTTCAAATAATCCAATCGTTAGTGCCCGTAATTCATAAATCTTTATATTCACAGGTATTATTTCATTTAAGCTAGTAACTCTTGAAGTAATTATACATTAATGTTTTTATGAATTGTGGTTTTAATTCAATTTGCAGATTACGGAGCTGCTACCTCATATTGTAAAAGCTATTCAGTGTCAATATTCTGTAATTCGATTCATGGCAGCAAGATGTTTTTCTACCATTGCAAGCGTCATTACAATATCAAGCATGCAAATCATAATTAATCAAGTAATACCATTATTGGGTGATTCACGGAATGTAATACATCGCCAGGGAGCTGCTGAGTTAATTTACCGTATGTAGTAAATATCTATCGTGTAATAATTGCAATATCTAATTTAAATCCTATCTAATATGAAATTTAGATGTTGTACAAACTATGGATGCAAAGATTCTGCCTTATGTTATTTTTTTAATTGTCCCAATATTGGGTAGAATGAGTGATGTAGACGAAAATGTTCGATTAGTGAGCACGAACTGTTTTGCCATGTTAATCAAGCTGGTGCCCTTAGAGGTAAATAAGAATAATTATGTATATTCTTTATAATTTAAACTTTTAACTTTGTAATTATTATTATATAGGCCGGTATACCTGATCCGCCTGGTCTATCAACCGAATTATTAAAGCATCGTGACGATGAACGCAAATTCCTTTCACAACTTCTTGATAGTAATAAATTGGATCCTTATGAGATTCCAATAACAATCAAGGCTGAATTAAGAAAATATCAACAAGAGGGTGTTAATTGGTTGGCTTTCTTGAACAAATATCAATTGCATGGCATATTATGTGATGGTAAATTGTTAATAATATCATATACTTAAAAATATTGATTTACTTAAATTATTTATTAAAATAAATTTTATAGATATGGGTCTTGGCAAAACTCTTCAATCAATATGTATTTTGGCAAGTGACCAATACACTCGTGCCAAAAAATATAGCCAAACAATGTCACCAGACTGTGCCCCATGTCCATCTTTAGTAGTTTGCCCCCCTACCTTAACAGGACATTGGTATCATGAAATATTAAATTATACGGATACGCTGAAGCCAATTCTGTATTCTGGTAATCCGAAAGACCGAGACAGGTATTAATATAATTAAATGTTATTTCTCATATGTCTTATATTGATAATTGAATATTTTGTTTATTATTAGACTTCGACCAAAAATAAAGCAATACGATGTTGTTATTATGTCATATGATATAGTACGTAATGATATAGACGATTTAGCCAATATTAATTGGAATTATTGTATCCTAGATGAAGGTCACGTTATAAAGAATGGCAAAACAAAAATTACAAAAGCAGTAAAATCTGTAAAGGCAAATCATCGGCTAATATTATCTGGTACACCAATACAGGTTAGGATAAATTATTTTAATTAATTCAATGAAATTTTGACAGTATTTACATTTTTTTTTTGGTCCTAATTAGAATAATGTGCTAGAACTATGGTCACTTTTCGATTTCTTAATGCCTGGATTTTTAGGCACAGAGAAGCAATTTAATGAACGTTTTGGTAAACCTATATTATCAAGTAGAGATAGTAAGAGTTCTTCCAAAGAACAGGAAGCCGGTCAGCCATTCATTTTACAAATATGCTTGTTTGTTTTAATAATATGAATATTATTAATAATAGGGTTGTATCTTTTACCTTTTAGGTGCTTTGGCGCTTGAGGCCTTACATAAGCAGGTGCTACCGTTCCTACTGAGACGCTTAAAAGAGGATGTTTTGAATGACTTACCTCCGAAAATTATACAAGATTATTATTGTGAGCTTAGTGATATACAGGTATTTCGAAAGAGAACAATATGATTTTCGTGTTTTTGATTAATTTTAGATCTAACATACGTCAAAATGAATAGAAACAACTTTATGAACAATTTGCTAAATCACAAACTAAAAACACTGTTGAAAATGATCTCGATCCGGAATATATTGAAGAAGAGAATGAGAAGAAAGCCACACATATATTCCAAGCATTACAATATTTGCGCAAATTGTGCAACCATCCTTTACTAGTTGTAAATGATAAACACCCACAATATCGCGTAGTCATGGATAAACTTAGATCTAGCAAGTCTTCATTGCATGATTTGGAAAATGCTCCGAAATTGCTTGCTTTGAAGTAATACAATTTATAATTTATCTTCGCATATTATGTAAAATATTGAATTTTTATTAATATAATTCTTGTTTGTATCCGTACAGACAATTACTACTTGATTGCGGTATAGGAGTAACTACAGAATCTGAAGAAGGTACCTTAGGTGCTGGTGCTGTTAGTCAACATCGAGCACTTATCTTCTGTCAGCTCAAGACTATGCTTGACATCATTGAAAATGATTTGTTCAAGCCTTTAATGCCTTCAGTCACGTATATGCGACTCGATGGCTCGGTAGATGCCAACAAACGTCATGGCATAGTACAGCAGTTTAATAAGGATCCATCAATTGACGTGTTGTTGCTTACAACTCATGTTGGGGGGCTTGGGCTCAACTTAACGGGAGCTGACACTGTGATATTTGTCGAACATGATTGGAATCCAATGAAGGATTTGCAAGCTATGGATCGTGCTCATCGTATTGGACAAAAGAAAGTTGTTAATGTATATCGTTTAATTACTAGAGGAACCTTGGAAGAAAAGATTATGGGGTAAGGTTAAATATTCTCGCGAAAATCATTTATTAAATCGAACGTTACTAATTATCATTATATTATATAGATTACAAAAGTTCAAACTTAATATCGCTAATTCTATTGTTAATCAACAAAATTCTGGATTGCAAAGTATGGACACTGAACAAATACTTGATCTGTTTAATGTTACGGATAATCAGAGAGGGGGAAATGTATCTTCTACAGGTGGTTCAGGATCTAGTTTTGGTTCAAAAGGAAAGAAAGTATCAGCTACAAAGAATGTTTTGGAGGGGTTAGAAAATTTATGGGATGATACACAGTATGAAGACCTTAATTTAGATAACTTTATTGAATCTCTTAATTCGGGAAATTGATTGCGGTTTAATAGATTATTATATCAGATAGATACTAATTAGAATTTTAATGATAAATATCGTTTATTGCGTTTAGCGAAATGCCAATGTCAAAAGTAAATTATTGTTTGATCTTTGCAAATTAATAGATATAATAATAAAATATCGATATTACATCCATTTATCATTTATTTGAAATCCAAGTAGTTATTTATTATCACCACAAAATTTTCACACCACGTGATTTACTAATCTTGACCAGAATTTTTCATGCTTGCCAAATTAAAATTTCCCTTAGGAAATTACAATACTATAATAGGATTTATTTTTAAGCACATATTGTTTAACATAACAAGGTTGAGATTTCAGCCCGAATTAAATGTTAAAATTTATTAATTAAACACAAAAAATTATGGTCCAATTAGAAAATTTCTTCTATATTAAAAAAACCCTCCAAAAATTGAAAAAAAAAGAAGGATTACATTAAACAAAATATTGGATTTAAATAGTCTTAATAATATCTGATATATAAACTTTTACTTTTATTAATTCTACACCTATAAAATAAAATTTAGAACATTAAATATTAAAAAAAGAAGTTTGCTATTTATTGCTAGTAGTATTATATAATATATGAAAAATTAGTCTTTGTTACAAATTTTCTTACCAATTTAACCTTTATAATGTTATTGATTAAATATTACAAACTAGTTAAAAAAAGTTAAAATTTAAATATAAAAACTACTCTAGTAATTATAAAAAGATTTGTAAAAAAGTTAGCCTTAGTAATTTATACTATTATATTAATATATATAGAAGATTCTTTAGGTTATTTTAAAGCTGATAATTGTGACCAATTTTGTAACTTATAAAAGAATTTGGTATATTAGCCTTTTTTAAAAATTTGAAAAAAATAGCTACTTTAATAGGATTTAAAGAAAATATATTTAGTATTTACCTTTAATATTACATATAATTTAAAACTTTGCACTTTTTTAGAACTAAAATATTAAATAAAGCTAATAAAGCTTAAATTAGTAATATGATTAGAAATTCAGCTTTAAATCTATTGATATACCTAATATAAAAATTATGAATTTTAAATAAATATTAATTAAATAATAAACAGAACTTGTTTAAAAAACTTTCTTCTTACCTTTACCCATTTTACTATATTATAAAACCAAAAGAGAATATTTTGAAAAAACAATATTAAATCTAATAATTTGATCTATCTGTATAGTAAAATGATAATATACAATAAAAAGGATTTTTTAGGATATATAAATTTAATTAAGAAATACTTTCTGCAAAAAGATTAATAATAAAAGAAGATTATAAAAGTATTTATTATATATATATAAAAAATCAACTTTCTGTAATAAAAACTGAGGATTTAAAACTCTAATATACTAAGGATGATATAATTTTTTGATATGAATATTATCAATTAATGATGCAATAAAAAATCGAAAGCATTGGAAAAATGTAAAAAATCCAAATATAAATCTAAAAATAAAATAAGATGCATAATAAATATAAATAAATTTAGTATATTTAGATAATTTTATATTTAAAAATAGAATTACTGATTTGTACTCTTTTATTTTTTCATTTTTTTTATTTATTTTTTTATATAGAATTTTCCTTAAATTAAACATTCTACATCTGACAATACTTACATAAAAAAAATAAATTAAGTTTCAGAGGTATATATGTTAACAGTTCATTCAAATGTCAAAGCTTTTACTCAAAAGAATTGTGTAAAATAGTCTCAATTAGTATTGTATGATAAATCAATTAAATCTATCTGTAATTGTAATTAATTTATAAAATTACATAATTTTAATTGTTTATAAATTTAAGTTAATTATTACTATAATTTTTTAAAATGAAAAACACTGAACTGATTTTAGAACTCTAATCACTGATCGTATAGACCATTTTTTTACAAAAGAAAAATTTTTATTTTTTTATTAAATATGGTTTATACTAGGGTGTCCAGGATGGGTTGATCACGATTTTATCACGATTTTGGCAATTTTTTTGCGATTTTATCACGGTCACGATTTTTAACAAAAATTTGCGATTTTCACGACTTTTTAATTT